CCCCGCTGCGCCCCTCCACCCCACCGGCCACCAGAGCCGGGAGGAGCTGGGCCACGTCGCCCGCGTTGCCCGCGTCTCCACCGCCTCGCTCGGCCGCTTCCAGCCCCGGCTGCCCAAGGAGCCGGCGGAGCCGCCGTCCCGCAGCGGCGGCAAGAAGCGCCGCTTCGAGCCGCTGCTGGGCAACCTGGCGGCAGAGCGCAGCCGGCAGCTGGAGCTGCTGAGGGACATGAGCAGCAAGAAGCCGGTCCTCGACATCACCCGCGCCGTCAACAAGCAGCTGCGCCAGGAGGAAGCTGAGGCGGCTGCTGCCAAGGGCAAGAAGCAGTCGCAGCGGGGGAAGCGTGGCCGCCGGCAGCAGCGGGTTGGCCGCAGCGGCAAGAAGAGTGGAGCCCGGCGGCAACAGCAGCAGCGGCCTGCGAGCAGCAGCGCTGGCGGTGGCAGGAGAAAGAAGGCATGAGGGACGGGGACTCTGTGCAGCACGGGCCTGGGGATACCTGCCGAGGTGCGGGAAGGGACTGTCAGTGCCAGCCTCCCGCCCAGCACTCTATTCCCACACATTGTCAATAAATATGCTCCAGCCTAAAATGTCCTGCGTTTGGCTCTTAGCTGGCATTCAAGGAGGGTTGTGTTCTCCATCCAAGGGGAGCTGGTGGTGTGTCAGGGGGGTTGGGAGCCCCATTTTGCAGGGACAGGCAGGTAACGTTGCTTCATGCCTGCAGCGTTTCCAGGCAAGACTGAAGCTGAGCAAAGCTGTCTCTTGCTCAGGTAGCTGGGGCTGGGGATCGACCGCAGCTATGAGCTGTGATTTGATCGAGTAACAGCCTGCTCAGACATGAAACAGTCAAAAGGACAGGACGTGGCTGCTGCTGTGTGCTCTGGCCAGGTGGCCTGACGGTGGAGCTCTTGCTCTGTAAGTCAACTGCTGCTGCTCAGCTCTGTGGTATTCGGGTTCAGTTACAAAACGAACGTGAAAACTCACTGTAAGATTTATTGTAGGGCCTAATAAATTGTACAGATTTCCTAGAGAGTTCTGTTGATTAAAATAAAAGTCAGAGCTGGTGACCAGCCGCTGAATTCAACAGAACAATGTATTGAACAGGTTAAAACCTAAATTTCTCCCAGTATTAACAGTAATCCATCATGTCATAGAAATAGTTTCACAGTGTTTTTCTTTACCAAGCAGTTTGAGAGCAGATATTTGGAATTATCTTTGACTTCTGCTTTTTACTCTTTTGAACTCTAGTGCCTCCTGTACGCATGAAATAAAAAATACTATTTGCTGTCCCAATGTGTGGCTTAGCTACAGGAAGGATGTGGTTTGCCGGGGCTGTTCCTAGTAAGAGGGGTAGTAAAACAAATTCCAGCAATCTCGAGTAAATAAAGTTCTCCAACTTTCAGTTGGTAAGCTTGTGAGTGTTTAATGATAACATAGTATTTAGCTGCAAATGAGTTTTTGAAAAAGCTAGGTGATAGCAGTTCTGTAGTCGTTCAGTAGAATGGTAGCTTGATCACAAAAAGCAAAACCTCTGTAAGGCAGCTGCTGAGGTTAGAAGGGATGCATATGACTTGGAGGGGAGGGGATTTGGGTGGCGTTGGCAGGCTGGCTATAGTGCTCAACCTGTGGGCTTTGCAGAGGAGGATGTGCTCTTTGTCTCTTAAAATTTGTTTCTTGCCACTGTGCTCAGCAGCCTGTACCACCGTGGGCTGCTTTGAACTTGCCGGTGGCAGGAATGGTCTTGTGGGCACAACCCACTGATACTAAGCTTTCAAATAAGTAGCTTGGCAAAGTAGGGGCAAAAACCACTTGGACAAGTGGAAAAAGTTCCTTTGTGATACATTCCAGGACTCTTCCTGGCTTTTTCTGCAGGACATGTCTTGTAGCTGCTCAACCAGAGAGTGTGGCTTTTTTTCCACATGCGTACACACCCACAATAAGTATTTTATGCTGATTATGACATTGGAGAACTTTCTGCATTAAAATGCTGGGCAGTTTGTGCATTTCCAGCAGTGATGCGGAACCCAGGCTGGGCTGGGGGTGCGCTGGGGGTGCTGCCGCTTTCTGGCTCTTCCAAGCGGATAAGGGTTTCAGGCCTTCAGGCAGGGGCCCTGGCAGGCCATTAACCTGCTTTTACTGACTCAGTACCTCGCAAAATGTCATTCTTCAGTTTGTCAGATGTGTTGTTGCTTTCCTTAAAACAGGTATGGGTTGATTTGCAGCCAGGTACCACCCATTTACCGTAGGAGTGTTGCTGGAGGGAGCTGAGCGAGGACACCTCTTCCACCCTGCGAAGTCCTCGCGTTTGGTCAACTACGTGACTGGAACCGGGACGCGGGTGGGAGCCGGCGCAGGCCCCGGACCATGAAGGGAATGTCGGGGGTTGCGCTGAGGATGAGTTATGTGACAACTTGGCAAAGGGACCGTCCGATTAATTAACTTGGCAACGAAACTAATTTTTGAGCGGCCTGCGAGTGAGCGACCTGCATTATAATACTCAAAACCACCCCCCCAGGGCAAAAAGCCCCTTGCTCAGGGTAAAACCCTTCCCCTGGGCACGGGGAGCAGCTCAAGGATTAGGTAAGCCGGGCTCTAACTGTGTGTT